TAGAGAAGAAAGTAGGTCAACTCTTAAAAGCAGGATGGAAAATTGTACAGTGAGAATGACTACATTCACTGCAGAAACATTTAGGAGCAATGTGTTAGAGACTATAAATACTAAGGATTTTCTGCAAGGACACGTACATGTATGAGGAGAAATAACAGAATATTTTCCCTTTACCCTACAAAACTATGAATGTTCCTCTAGTAAATAATAACCCCCCAAAAAAATTGTACATGTAGGGGTTACTAAAACATGTCCTTTAGCAAATAAGAAGCATCAATCACTATACCACAAATTATATACTTTTATTTAACTAGTTAATTCTAAATTGACTCAAATAATTTTGATATATTCATTGAAAAGTTTACCTATACAGTACTATGTTGATCAGACCAGACGTTTGTCTTCAAAGTGTCAGGTTCAAGTATAAACGTAGTTATTCGAACTTTCCAGTGGTAATTCACACTTGCATGGTGTCTTGGTTACTTTTCTCTTGTTGCTTAGACAAAATACCTGACACCCAAAGTTTACTTAGCTCCATTTGTGGAGGTTTCAGTCCACAATCAGCTGGCTCCAAGGCAGGCTGGCATGGCACAGAGGCAACAGTTCAAGGCAGCAGAAGACAGCAAAAGCAGCAAGAGCTAAAGGGGAAGAGCAAGCCTCTTTCCCTCCCTTACACTGTATGCAGGCTACCACCCCCAACGGTAGGTGTATGCAAGACTCACACTATCCTCCTGCATGGGATGAGGAGGTTTACAAAGGACCCTGGCTCCCCAGGGAATCCCTTAGTTAACTCTCTAAACTTCTCAAGGTGACACAAATGTATCAACCATTACACATGGTGTACTCCTACTTCAAGACTTGGCTAAGTGATAAAAGACACTGCAGTTGTCCAGCCCTGCAGGGATGCTGGCAACCAGAGCTCCCTGTCCCCTTCCAGAGTCCAGCAGGCCTGGGCTCAATGACCTGGACAAGCTACTCTAACTCCAAGCTTCTGGTGTTTCATCCGTGTAAGGAAGATGGAAGCGCACCTGCAACTCAATGGTTCTCATGGGGAACAGAGAAGACAAAGCTCTGAAGCCTCAATATGGCATAGAATGGACAGCGGATGTTACTTATAATCCAAGCCTCACCCAAATGTCACAGATCTACACAAAGGCAGTAACATCTTCCAACCCGAAGTACCCACAGGGGCCCAATAACATGACTATTCTTATTATCCAGTACCAGATCATGTTCCAATTATGATTTTAAGTTTTTGTTTCTGAAAAATTAATTTACAGTAAACAGAAATGTACATTAGTGAGACTAGGAGAAGACTTTTTTTACTTAATCTTAATCATGGTTTATAACTAAACATCTTTATGTTCTTAAAAACGGTGAACTCTGAGGGATGCTACTACTGTTTTTCTCCAAAGCTTTCAGATGCTGGAGACAGGAACAGTGCCACTCAGGAAGAAACCAGTATTTTCCATTTTTGTCTATAAATCACTTCACATATGTCTATGCAGATCAGGCCATATAACACAGCATGTGCTAAGAATTCTCTTTAAACTGCAAGTTGAAATATATAAGCCTATCTGATCTTAATTTCTACCACAGAGCCCAGTAAAAGTGAAAATAAACAACTGTTATAGATTATAGGGTTCATAATCAAAAATGCATTTAAAGAGTTCTGCCTATGATAAATGTGATCATGATGTATAGCTAAAATGTACCAATAGACTTATTTTTAAAAAATTAAAGAAAGAGGGCTGGGGATTTAGCTCAGTGGCACAGCGCCTGCCTGGCAAGTGCAAGGTCGTGAGTTCGATTCCCAGTACTGGAAAAAAAAAAAAAAAAAAATTAAAGAAAGCGTTCTGAACGATAAAAATTTGGCACAAGTCCTAGAAATTAGTAAAACCAGGAGACATAAATTTCGTTTCTCTTGCATTAGGTTGTCGTTCGATAGTCATGAAATAAACTTTTGCTAAAATGATGCTACAGAGAAAAGGCAAGAATGAGACCAAATAATCCAATACAAAATACAGTTTAGAGGAGAGAGGTCAACAAGAGAGGTCTCAATGCAGTCTGGCAAGATTAGTAACCCAGAGTCAAAGAAGGATCAGACTTGCCCTTTGCTACATCCAACTCCAGCTTCAGGACTGGTAACCATCTTAATACCCAAATGCTTGGATGCATTCACAAACTGCCTGAACTATATTACTACTAACTCACACATGGTCATTTACTTTGCCCAAATTTTAAAACTTTGCATCAGCAGTAACATATACAGGCACCCATAAAAGCTCTCAAACGCTCCCACAGCAATGTATTATTATTTAAGGAATCTTAGTAGAAAGAAGCAGTAATAAGAGCATATTCTTAAAAATCTAGAGCTTTAAGGAAAAATAAAGTACAGAAACTAAATTTTTCTGATATTTTTACCAGCAAAAAAAATCATTTCATAAATATTAAAATCGGAGAATGATTACTGAAATTTTAAAAAGAAATGATCTAGATGAAAATTTATCTAAATGGAAAATGTTTAATTTCAAAACTTAAAGTTATATAAACATTTTAACATCTTTTTTAACTCTTAAGGCAATTTTAATTATTTTCTCAAATTTAAGACACCATAAAATACAGAGAGAAAAATGTTCCTAAAAAATCTCTAGGGATGTGAATGAAGAGCCAACCTCTCTAACTCAAATTAATATCCCAAGAAAGGACAGTGATTTTCACAATGTTTTCACTATATTATTGAACACAATGTAATATAAAACTATTTCTTCTAAAAGATCAACCAATTTTTTAAGAGGCGAATTTTAACAATTCAATTTTCTTTTTTAGACAACTTCTCCAACTTCTTAGTAAAAAGTTATCTGACTAGCTGAAGAACACGGTTTTGAAAACTGGAGATTAAGTTATGTAATTCCCAACAACAGATACGGATCTTTACAGAAACTGCTTCACTTAAAAACCCTAAAATGATCCTCACTGCTGCCTCCTAACTTCTGTTTCTCTCACTGCTACATCAGTGGAACTTTCTTGTTAACTAAACTTACTACTCACTCTGTTAAGTCCCAATAGCTCTAGGAAGTTTGCCCGGTGTTCTTTGCTCCGAACTGTTAAGAATGGTACCTTTACATGGATGTATACTGTACTGAAGTCCTGTGTGACCATGCGCTCTTTCCAAACACAAATACATGTTTGAAACCATCTTTGTCTCTCTTCATTATTACACGTGACTTGAAAGTGATTTGAAAGAAATTCTTCAAAAGAAAATGTAACACTGATCCTGATGTTGTATCTGCAGCATTTAGTAAAACTCCTGTTCAAAGACGGATGGTGGATAGGTTCAGCTAGCTCTTCTCCACGAGGACAGTCACCAATATAAAATGATTACGTTCATAAAGATGCTGGAACACAAACATCCTTAAAAAGTTTCCTGTTGAGACTTTTGGATGTTACTCAGTGGCAGAGTTCTTGCCTTGCATGCAGGAGGCCCTGGATAGGATCCCCAGAAGTTTCCTGATTAAAACTCACCGGGTTTTCAAGAATTAAAAAGAACTGGATAAAAACATATCTACCGCACCTCAAATAAAAGCTGAATGTAAATTTGTGTATAGATCTTAATCACACATGTTGTCCTACTTTTCACGTTTTCAAAGTTGAGTTCATTGATCAGTGTCAGTGTCTTTCAACGAGAAGACTTTTCGTTTACAAATACTTTTCCATTTACAAATATTAAGGGTGACAGCCTGGTATTTCAATTCAAATAGTAACGGCCTATTTTTGCATCCATGAAAATGTTCATATTCTAAGTAAAAACCCCAGTAAGGGTCAAAACTTAAATACAAACATCTAAACTCTCATAATGCCTTCAGCTTGAACGTATTTCAACCAGTTCCCATAATTACTACAATATTACTATTATCTTACCCTCACTACCAAAAACCCAGCTGCAGGCTAACTACACAAGAATGAAGCACTGTTGAAATGGCTCTCAAAGAGAAAGAAGGAAAAAAAAACTTTATCCTTGGTCCATTTCGCTACAAAATCCTGAAATTACAGGAAAACAAGTAAACACTCAAGCGCCCTTCTGAGAAAAAAAAAAAAAAACGGGTGCTACAAAAGGAGCCCAGAGAGAAAGCCGGCCAGCAGCTCCCCCACCTAACAGCTCAGCGGAGTCGGGGTGGGGGCGGAGGCGCGGAGGAAACTTGGGCAGCACAATGACTCCGGGGCTCGGATTGTTGGGAAGAAAGCCTCGGGCTTAGCAAACTCCGCCAGCTGGGGTTCAGAGACGCAGCGCCGACCGGCCCGGAGCCCAGCCCGACTGCCCCGGCCCGCGTCCCCGCGGATCTCCATCTTCCTCCTCCTTGCTCTCCCCTTTTGTTTTTCCAGCTTTCTGTCCACTCCGGCGGTGGCCGGTCTGTCCTCCCCTCGGCGCCTCTCCGTACGCCCCACGCGCCCGCCGCCCCAGGCTCGCAGTCCTCCCGAGACACTCGGCCTTCCTGCGCGCACCCTGAATCCCCAGCTTCCTCACATCCCAGGCTCGCCGTGCTCCCGCGCCCCCGCCTACCCTGCCTCCCCGGGCGCTCCCGGCCCCTGGACCCCCGCGCCCCAGCCCCTCGGGCGCCCCCGGGCTCCTCACGCCCCCCAGTCGCCCTGCGCCCCCCAACAACCATCCTGCGGGGACCCGGAGCGCCCCGGCTCCCCGTGCCCCTAGTCGCCCCGTCTTCCCCGCGCCCCCGGCCTCCTCACGTCCTGGCCTCATCTCCCCTAAGCGTTCCAGGCCCCAGTGCGCCCGGCCCCTCGGGCGCCCCGGCTTCCCCCGAGTCCCCGGCTTCATCCTCCTCGAGACCCCGGCCGCCCCTCCTCCGAGGGCGACTGCGGGCCGGGGACGCGGGTGGGGCTGTCTCCGCTGCCCGCACTAGCACGGCTGGCCCCGCTCTGCCTTCCGCCCCCGGGCCGCGGCCCAGCCCGCGATCAGTTCCAGACGGGCCGCACCCCGCACTCACCCGGCTGCGGCTCGGCGCTAGGCTGAGGAGAGGCGGACAGCGGCGGGGC